TGTGTGTGAGTGTGTGTGTGAGTGTGTGTGAGTGTTGTGTGCGTGTGCGTGAGTGTACAAACTCTCTCCCTCAGGACACTGAGCAGCCTCAGGCGAAGACGTCATTGCCGTGACACTGAGTGCCCAACCTCCATTTCTGCAGCTGCTGCCTCTAATTGGACAGGAAGCCATCCCCATGTGGAGTAACAGTTCTAACCCCCTCCCCCTGGGAAAGTCAGTTTCCCACCATCAGCTCCCCCTCCGAGATTGACATGGATGCAGCTCGTGGAGTGCAGCTCAGTGTGAAATCCCAGGCCCTTTGATTCACAAATCTCCACATGTCAACATCAGCACAGATTCACAGGGTAGGCTGATGAACTGCTGTGTCACAGTGGGTCAGCTGTAACTCAGGCGCTGCAGGGAGATAAGGAGGACAGTATGAAAAGCTAACCATGAGGTAAATGGCATTTCTTCAGCAAGAAGAAGACAGTTTAACAACTCAGCCACGTTCCATATTCATTCAGACTATAGGGGCACAGTCACCCTTCAAATTAGACTGCAGTAAACAAAGGAGAGGGGCAACTACAGCGTAGAGCACAGCAATAAGATCGCAGTTCACAATGCATTAGCTGCCCTCAGAGAACCAAGAAATGCAAAGCTATCATTTTCTCTATGGTCATATGAGCCATTCTCCATTTCTGCCCAGCTCGTCCAGTATTGGAACAGCTAGGGCTAGAGTTTGGGGTCAAGCATAGACACACTAAGTCTCTGTCCATTTCACTTCCATTTCACATTTCTACACTATTTAGCACGATGCACAAAATTATAGCTTTCAACCTTCAGTCATCTACATTTAGCAAATAAGGAAAATAACGTAGTTACCATATAAAAACCGAAAGAACTGCAGATGCTGTAAATCAGGAATAAAAACAAAGTTGCTGGAAAAGCTCAGCAGGTCTGGCTGCATCTGTGAAGGAGAAAATCAGGGTTAATGTTTTGGGTCCAGTGACCCTTCCTCAGAACTGAGAAGTTGCCATCATTTTGACAGATTATTCTGCAAACATTTGACAATTTTGTATCCCTGATGCTCAACTTGAAGAGCTGGGGTCAATTTATCAATTGTACGGTCAGCTCCAGCAATGCTGGTGACTGTTGCATGATTGAAACTGACAAACAGAGCAGCAGAATTTGTAAAAACAGCTTGATATATCCTGGCACCAATGGACTCCCATTCATACAGTGACCTGCAGGGCCATCCCTGCAAGATCCCACAGGAGAAACCATGGAACTGGCAGAAGTTTCAACCAATTAGATCTCCTCTCAAAAACACCACACTTACTTACTTCATGAAAATACTGGTTCCCATGTCCATCTATTACAGGGACAACAAGTACAACAGTCAGGTTAGAATGAAAGCAGAAATTGCTATGCAGACTGGTGGACTGTGTGAATGGGACTGCACTAAAGATTATCCTCTACAATGCTAAACAGGTACGTCTTTGCTATTAGCCAAAATGGTAAACCAAGAAACAAGTATAGTCAGTCCTCACTTAAAGTCATGCTTAAAGTTCGTTAAAATCCTGAGTTTAAGTACAGCAACTTTAAATGAATCATAGTTTTTCATAAAAATCAAGCTTAAAGCCAGTATTAGGTTCCTTCAGATATTTCTCACTTGGAAAAAGCAATGTTAATGTTGAAATATTGTCCTGTATGTGTACAAAACTGCATTCCTAGCTGAAATAAATTGCAAAATAAAATCATCACTAATTATTAAAGACACACAATGCAATACTGAACAAAATCACTCCAATGACCTTCACTGTCCAGTATTGTTCGAGTAACCAGGCATCAATTAATGGCAGAAGTTGGTCGTGCAGCTGGATTGCCAGAACTACTTGCACTAACTGATGTCTGTTACTAGAAGGAGCCCAGGACCTCAGTGAGAGTTAAGGAACAGAACCAGTCACAAGGAAAAGGCAAGATTGGAGCCTAAGTTAGGGACACAGAGTGAATGTGTGGTCAGGGTAAGCTGGGAGACATGGACAGGGGAGATGAGGAATTCACCTTCAGAAGCAAATATGTCCAACGTTCAGAAAGCTGATTCCGCATCAGTAAACACAATGATTAATACTTATCAATCTGAACCTGGTAATTATGCGATATAGTGTTATCACAGAAACACTCAGTGTAATCACAATAACTCCTTTCTCTACCATCAGTGAAGGCATCAATCTGTTTAAGGCAGAGCTTCAGAACAGTTGAATTGTTGCACCTCTGCTGGGGAGTACTTCAAGCAGAGAGCTTTCCCATGTACTGACCCATCATTGTGTGTACCTTGGACATGTCACTGCTGCTCCTCTGAAGGTGAACCTACCGCCTGCCACAGAACTCTGTTTAAGCCAGAAAGTTGGGATATCTAGGAGTGTTCAGTGGCTTTGCCCATATTCTCCAATCTTAATGAGAGTACAGGTGCTGGCGATGGTGGGAGTCTGTATCTGCTCGGATGCAGCTTTGAGTGCAGTGTGTGAGTTAGTGGTACATTCTAGGTCCTTCTGTAAAAAACAACAAAAAGGAGTAATGTAAATAAGGCATCTGAGTGGATAAATCAATCAGAAATACATCGAATGTGTACATGCTGAAAGCCAGCTAATAAAAACAGAAATTGTCAGAAGTATCAAAGATGTCAGGAATAGCTGTGGATCGAGTAACCAAGTAAATATTTCAGATCAAGCACCTTTCATCAGAACTGGGCAATGTGGAAATCTGTAATCTTTAATCTGTAACTTTTCCCAATAACGATAAGAACTTCATAACTCAAAACATTACCACTGTTTCTTTCTCTACAGATGCTGCCTGGTCTGTTCAGTTTCTCCACTAATTTTGTTTCAATTCAAATTTCCACAATCCATGGTATTTTGATGTCAGAAAGGTAGCTGATGTTGCATTTATAGCAAGATTGATGGATAGATTTTCAACTACATTTTAGAGGCTGAGGTTAACATCTGTAAGATTGAGGAGACAACATCACACAGAGGGGAATATACTCACAGGTAGATTATTGCTGTTAGCACAGTCATTGAGATTTCTGTAAATTGCAGGAACATGAATGGCTCGTCAATGCTGTCATCCTTGGTGGATCATTTCATTGTCTTCCGACACCTAGGGACATGTTCAATTCTTTCTCAGGTCTTTGCATTGCAGCGAAGGCATTGATCCTGTGGTGATCTTGTCCCGGGTCTCCAGTGTGAACTGGAGTTCGTGTCCTAAAGTTAAAAAGTACTACCTTCCCAACCAATACTCCTGCATGGTGAAAAACACTTCCATGTGAAAGACAGTGTGAGTTCTTAGTGTGAAAGACAGTGTAAGAAGCTTTCAACTGACACACTGGGACTACCAGGCAGATCTCTAACCTTAAGAAAAGAATCAGCAAGATCATGTCCTATTCACTGAAGTGCTGGACTGTAATTATCACAGATCGGCTCCGGTTAAACTCCAGAATAGCAAGTCCAGGATGTACAATTCTGTCAGAGCTTGTGCACGCTATTATCCTGTTCCTGACACTCGACGTGTAACGCTGTTCCCGACAATCCTCTATCAGTAACTTCAACATCTCAGCTCACCAATTAAAAAGCTGCTAATTATTGCAGCACACTGTCACAGCCAGAGCAGGCTGGAGCAGATGTGAAACATTACTTAGTTGCTGTTATTTTGACAAGAAATAATCAGGTCTGAAAGCAGGTTTCACTGACGCTGCTGCCAGGAAATAAATTGGTAAATATTAGCTGCAATCTGTTACAACATCCCTTTTGTACTTCTGAGAAATTATTAATGAGACTTAAATGGCTAATGGAACTCAGTCCTTTACGACTGCATAATCATGCTTGTACAGACTTACTTTAAAAAGTGACCACTTACAAAAGCACCAAATGAGAATAAAACAGTAAACTTAATTCAATGCCATGAGGAGCTACAGACTACTGCGCAGTAACATACTACAACATATCACTTTTTCACCCTTAATGCTTATTATGTTTCAGTAGACAAAATTACATTCTTCCTACAATGTTCCTACACAGCTCAACCAAGTAAGTACATTTCCCAATGCAGCATAATCTGTTTAGGCTAGAAACTGAAATATCCATTGCTGCTTTGTGATGGTGTTAGCTGAGTCAGAAAGATAAAAAATAAAGTAATATTTATGGATCTGATTCTTGAGTCCCGCTCATGCTGTTAACAGTATTTATATGGATCCCCTGTTGTAGGCTCAAATGTAATGATCTCTGTAGTGGTACAGTCTAATCTCACTCAGTGTCAAGGCCTGTTTAAGGACAATCATTTGGAGAAGAGCGTCAAAGTTTAATGATAACTGTGGAAATGTACTGAATCCAAAATTAATCTTTAAATGAGAGAACACCGAACTATATAAATATAGTATGTATTTTCAAATTATACGTACTCACACAGGCAAATGGCTTTCTTTAGTAAAGAAATTGAAGCCTTAGGTAAAAGCAAACAGTATAGGATTCTGAGCCAATTGATAATTCACATTGGATTGAATGTTAATTATCTGAGGCTAGATGATGAATATTGCATGGTCTTACCTGTAAAAACTAAGCTGATATCTTCCAATTCTTCCACTGGAACTTTGAAACTGAATGATTCGTTGTAGAATGGGTCGATGGTCCCCTTCATACAAGATGTTTTTTTAGTTTTTACCAGTTTTAATCCATGCACCAGCTGAACTTTAACAAATGGATCTGTCATAATTTAAAAGCAGGATAATAATTGTTATAATATCCAAATGATAACTTTCTCAGTGTGTATTTTCTATGGTTCTACCCTGTGGGACTCACTACCACAGAAAGCAGCTGGGGCATAAATGTTGTATGATTTTAAGAGGGAGTTGGATAAACCACTTGGAGCTAAAGGGATCAAAGGATCTGGGGAAATAAACAGGAACAGGTTATTGAGTTGGATGGTCAGCCATGATCATAATGAATGATGGAACAGGCTCAAAGGGCAGAATGGCCTACACCTGCTCCTAGTTTCTATGTTTCTATGTCTATGATCTGCAGAGTGAAATATTAAATTCTTACCAATTTACTGTACAACAGTCAATGTTAAATATGAATCTAACTCTTCTTTACCTGATCCTTGGCTCATATCTGTCTGAAGGAGTTGTTTTGCTCTAATAATATCCACATTCAGTCTTCCTGCACTTGGCAAGTAATTGAGGGAGATCAATAACTCTCCTAGTTCGACTTCATTCTGTAAGGAAACAGAGTGGAAGTAAAACACCAAATGTTTGAAGTAATGCATTTAATAATTAAAGCACACCAAGGAACAGCTTGGTTTCATATTTAGGATATGACATATATGCAAGAACAGATTTCTTTATGAAATCATAGCCACATATATATTCTCTTTCATATTCATATGTGGCAACAAACATGTTTCTTTTGGAATCAATCACTTGTAAGTGTTTCCAGAAGAGAAACATTCTGGCCACAAAGTTTGCTTGCGCACTGTTCTAATTCACGGCTCCTACATGGAACAGTTTAAAAGAAACGGTGTCTATGCTGAGTACAGCGAGTGTGGGAGCCGGCACTGCCAGTGTCCCCTCAGTAAGAGTGTAGTTCAGAGCACAGTGTTACACAGTCAGCAGATCGTGATGTTAATGAGCCTGTTTCACTGGTCTGACAAAGTGATGCCATTTTTGATCTGAACACTTCATCTCACACAGCCTTTTCCCCACTTCCCAGAGTGCGCGTGGACATGGCAGCAAGAAGGATTCCCGGCAGTCCCACCCACTCAGGCTGTCCATGGGTTTCAGGGCAGCTGCTGATTGGTTCAGACAGCTGTTGTTAGGTTTGTCGAAGTGTTTGCTGCTCTGTACTGTTCCACGTAATTGCAAAAACCTACAGGAAGTGGCATGATCCATTCTGAAGACATCCTTCCAACTCTGTAAGGTTTTGTTCAGGCTGCAGCAGGGCCCTCAAGGAAGGCAACACAGAACAGAGCAAACTGCTGGAGGAGGGAGGATGTGCAGGGGAACAGGAGGAGGCCTCATTAATCAACAGTTTGAGCATTAGTTAGTACTTGGAACTATGACATTATTGTGATTGCAGAGACTTGGCGGAAAGAAAGGACAGGTCTGGCAGCTGAACGCCCCAGAATTTAGATGCTTCAGGTGTGATAGAAGGGGACATAAAGGGGTGGGGGAGTTGCATTACTGGTAAAGGAGTATTTCAAAGCTGTACTGAGGGAGGATATATCAGAGGACTAATGCAGTGAGGCAGGATGGGTAGAAGCCAGGAATAGGGAAGGTGAAATGGCAGTGGTGGAGGCTCGTACAGTTACAGCATTTAAAAGGCATCTGGATGGGTACATGAATAGGAAGGGTTTAGAGGGATATGGGCCAAATGCTGGCAAATGGGACAAGATTAATTGAGGAAATCTGGTCAGCATGGGTGAGTTGGACCAAAGGGTTTGTTTCCATGCTGTATATCTCTATGACTTCACAATGCTGGGGTATACTACAGGCCTCCCAACAGCCAGCAGGAGATAGAGGAGAGAATATGTAGACAGATTTTGGAAAGATGTAAAAACAGCGGGGTTGTTGTGGTGGGTGACTTTACCTTCCCCTATATTTACTGGGACTTACTTCGTGTGAGGGTCTTGGTGGGGCAGAATTTGTAAGGACCATTCAGGAGGGTTTCTTGACACAGTACATAAACAGTCCAACCAGGGAAGGGGTTATACTGGACCTGGTTTTGGGTAATGAGCACAGCCAGGTGAGTGAAGTTTCAGTGGGGGAGTATTTCGGGAATAGTGACCATAATACTGTGAGTTTTAAGACACTCATGGATTGGGATAACAGCAGTCCTCAGGTGAAGGTGTTAAACTGGGGGAAGGTGAACTACAACAATATTGGGGAGGAACTGGACAGTGTTAATTGGAGCAGCTGTTTGAGGGTAAATCAACACTGGACACATGGGAGTATGTCAAATGACTGTTGATGAGAATTAAGGAGTGGCACGTTCCTGTGAGAATGAAGGATAGGTATGGGCAAGTTACATGAACCTTGGATGACCAGGGGTGTGGTCAGAAAGAAAAAGAAAGCATTTGTAAGGTCTAGGAGGATGGGAACTGATAAAGTCCCTGAAGTATATAAGGAAAGTAGGAAAGAACATAAAAAGGAATAAGAAGGGCTGAAAGGGGTCACAAAAAGTCATTAGCAAACAGGATTAAGGAGAATCCCAAAGCTTTTTATACAGACATAAAAAGCAAGAGGCCAGCCAGGAAAAGGGTGGGTCCACTCAAGGACAAAGGAGGGAATCTATGTGTGGAGGAGAAGAGGTAGGTGAGGTCCTAAACGAATATTTTATGTCGGTATTCACCAAAGAGAAGGAATTGGTGGAGGATGATCTAAGGGAAGGGAATGTCGAATTTCTAAGTCAAGTTGCTATTAAGAAAGAAGAGGCGTTGTGCACGTTAAAAAGTATTAAGGTAGTTAAGATCCTGAGTCCTGACGGGATCTATCCCAGAATATTAGGGGAGGCAAGAGAACAAATTGCTGGAGCATTGACAGACATCTTTGTATCCTCTTTGGCCACAGATGAGGTCCCAGTGGACTGAAGAATAGCTGATGTTGTCCCATTGTTTATGAAGAATAACAGGGATAATCCTGCAAATTACAGGCCTGTGAGCCTCACGTCGATTGTAGGGAAATTATTGGAAAAGATTCTCAGGGACAAGATCTATACGTATTCAGAAGTATTCAGGTAGAGGGGTCAGTTACTAGGGGACACAGGTTCAAGGTGCGAGGGGGTAAGTTTAAAAGAGATGCGCGAGGGAAGGTTTTCACACAGAGGGTGGTGAATGCCTGGAACGTGCTGCCAGAGGAGGTGGTGGAAGCAGACACAATGGCAGCGTTCAAGAAACACCTGGATAAATACGTGATTAGGAAGGGAATAGAGGGATACAGATCCTGCAAATGAAGACAGTTTTAGTATAGAAGGGTAAATTGTGTCGACACAGGCTTGGAGGGCCGAAGGGCCTGTTCTTGTGCTGTATTGTTCTTTGTTCTTTGGCTGCAAGTCTTGAACCTCAAACCCAGCCAGGATTAGTGCTTCATATGTCCTGGCCACTGTGAGGAAGTATGCCCTGAATTCAGTGACCTATTGCAGCCTGAGGTTGGCAGGTGCCAATGACTGTGAAGGTGATTATGGCTATAATGTTTTCTTACTCGGGTTCCTGTCTCACTGGAGCGGGAGATATTTCCATTCTCTCCTTGGGCAATGTTCCCTGTCACATACAAGAAACCATACCCAAGGTTGTGGCTGTATAGAGAGTGAGGAGGAAACAAGGAGAGCAAGCTAGTGGCACCTCAATGGTTGCAGGCATCTCCATGGTGCAGGATGCCACTGCTAGTGCGTGCCAGAACCCCCTCGATATCCACTGGGGCATGACCAACCATAACTAACAGTTAAGGTTAATGTTACCCGTCTTTTGAGGAATGTCACAATAGTTCCATTCTGGGACAATCCATTGCTCCCGAATCTCTGACAAAGCAAACCAACAGTGGTCCTTGGCTGACTGTGTTTCATGACATCAGTGTGCACGTTAATGGCACATTGGAGAGAAGCCGTACTGGCAGACAATATGCACGGGAGCAGAGCTTTGCAGGCCTTAGATAAGACTACCCCCACTGCCTGGAGCACAGGGGGAGGGGCTGGGCGATAATCACAAGTTGTGTCTCGATGGGCCAGTGTATGTGACACAGCCTCGTGGCACATTGGCTGAGCATAGCCCACAGTACCGGCCATTTCATCAGCAAAGGAGGAGGAGGAACAGTCAAAGTAAGGGACAAGGTAACCCCGTCCCCCTGCTCCTGCTACACTGGGGCCAGGCTGGGTCACACTGACCCAGAGAGCACCAGTACAGTAGTCAGAAACCCGGAACGGAGTGCAGAGGGAGGGGTGGGGTCCAGCGATCAGGGAGGAGGGGGAGAGGGTGGGGCAGCAGCATCTGAAACAGTGGAGGGAGTTCAGGATGGAAGGTGGGGGGGGGGGAGGGAGGGAGGCGGGGGCATGAGGAAGGACGGGGAGAGAAGGATCCCATTGCCTGTCAGTGTAACACGTCAGCTATAAGTGTCTGCACCTCGAGAACATTCAGCTCAGATGGCCAAACCTGTTGGCTGGGTCGGACACATTGTGCCATATCGGGGGGGAGACTTTGTTCAGAAAGTAGTCACACCCTTTAGGACATGGCCATCTGATTTGGTGAGTGGTCAGGACCAGGAAGATGAGGCTGCAGGTAACGGGATCAAGAAAGCAGTGGGGAAAGAACGCCAGTCCTTACACATTTATAGCAGGCTTCGTCAATAACCTTCCTTCAATCATCTGGTCAAAAAGGGGAGATGGTCAGTACCATTTGTGATTCCCTTGATACTGGAGCAGGCAAGGTCCAAATGTAGCAAGACTTGGACAATATCTAGGTTTGGGCTGACAAGTGGAAAATAACATTCACACCACACAAATGCCAGACAGTGACCATCTCTAATCAGAGACGATCTAACCACTATCCTTAGACTGCCCAGAATCAACACCCCATGGGTTATCATTGACCAGTAGCTGAAATGGACTAGCTGTAACAAAACAGTGGCCACACAGCAGCTCAGAGGCAAGGAATCCTACAGCAAATAACTCACCTCCTGCCTCCCCAAAGCCTGTCCACCATCTACAAGGCACGAGTCAGGAGTGTGATAGAATACTCCCCACTTGCCTGGATGGGTGCAGCTCCAACAACGGCTTTACACCATTCAGCACAAAGCAGCCCACTTGACTGGCACCACATCTACAAGCATCCACTCCCTCCATCATCGACGCTCAGTAGCAGCAGTGTGTACTATCTATAAGATGCACTGCAGAAATTCACCAAAGATCCTCAGACAGCACCTTCCAAACCCACGGCCACTTCCACCTATACAAGGGGAGCAGACACTTGGGAACACCACCACTTGCAAGTTCCCCTCCAAGTTACTCACCATCCTCTTATTAGAGATGGTCACTGTCTGACATTTGTTTGGTGTGAATGTTATTTTCCACTTGTTAGCCAAACCTGCATATTGTCCAGGTCATGCAGCATTTGGACCTGGCCTGTTTCAGCATCAGGGGAGTCACGAATGGTGCTGAACATCACTGTTCCTTCAACCATCGCTGGGTCAAAATCCTGGAATTCCCTCGCTAACAATATTGTGGGTCAAC